AAAAAGTCCCAGGATTTCACACATGCCCCGGCAGGAGAAGACCGTGCCAAATTTCTTACTGAATTTTTTTTCTTATCAAAATAAAGTATGTGATTTGGTTATAATATGTTTTTCACAGGAATTAATAAATCTATTTTCATTTTGGATTAACAGAAGAAATCGTCCTTTTATATTTTCTCTGATCCTAAATGCATTGCTGGAAGATGCTGCCCAGACCTCCTCTCCTCCAGGGTACCTCCCATGAATATCTCTCTGGTCACAGTTTATTTTATTAAAGCAATCCCGCACCCCAAGACAGGGTTTCTCTTTGTAGCCCTGGCTGTCTTGGTTGATCTGTAGACCTGGCTGGCCTCAAACTCACAGAGATCCATTTGTATCTGCCTCTCTCATGCTGGGATTAAAGGTGTGTACCACCACTGCCACCGGTTTAAAATAATTTTTACCGGGTCAGTAAAACAGCTCAGAAGATAAGGGGAGCTGCTGTCAAGGCTGCCAAGTCTGAATTTAATCCCCAGGATCCACAAGGTGGGAGGGACAGAACTGACTCCCGAATGCTGTCTTCTGACTTTCACACATGTGTGGTGGCTCACTTGTGCCTATGCACTAACATATATAAAAAAATAATTAATTGACAGTTTCATACACGCACATCATGCATTTTGGTCATATTCACCCCACTCCCTTCTAACCCCTTCTACTCTCTCTGACACCTTCCCTCCCATCACATCACCTTCCCACCTTCATCTTTTTTTTAAAAAATAATCTAATGGTTTTAATTAGGGTTGTTGGTATGTGTATACATGTAGGGTTATTACCCAGATCATGGGTGTCCTCATAGTAACGACACCCCTGCAGAAAAATGGCTCCTAGCTGCTCCCCCGGCCAGCCTTATTTTCATCCCTACACAGCCAGAGCAGACCATGAGCCTGAGGCCAGGCCGTGTCTTATTCTGTAATCTCAGTTTCTCACTCAAGGTGATGCTAAATCAACACACTCGGCCCTTCACATCCGAGGGCTTTGCATTCAGACTCCGCCAACGCTGGAGGAAAATATTCGGTGAGGATGCCCACAGGGATCCAGATAGTGAAGCTTTGAGTTTGCCATGCCCCACTCTTCTGTGCTGGGTCCACGAAGACGGGATGATGTGAGGACATTTATCATGAACCGATGTGGGGCTGAAGAGGTGGCTCAGTGGTCAAGACTGCTTACTGCTCTTACAGAGGATCCAGGTTTAGTTCCCAGCACCCACATGGCAGCTCACAACTATGTGTAACTCCAGTTCCAGGGGATCCAACACCCGCTTCTGGGCTCTTCTAGAATTGAAGACACACACGGTGCACAGACTTGGGCATGCGAAACACCATACATACAAAATTAAAATTAAGGCCAGCAGTGGTAGCGTGCGCCTTTAATCCCAGCATTTGGAAGACAGAGGCAGATGAATCTGAGTTTGCGGCCAGCCTGGTCTACACAGTGAGTTCTAGGACAGCCAGGGCTGCACAGAGAAATCCTGTCTCAAAAACGAAAACAAAACAAAAATTAAAAGAATCAGAGATAATGTTCCTTGGTCGCCCAGGTCTCTCACTGGCTTTTGAGCGCTTCCCCCTGAAGGGTGGGAGCACCGGTGGGGACGTGAGAGGAGCACCACGTTTGCAGACACGCTGCTCATTGTTTTAATCTCCGTGTGCCCTGTGCTGCTTGCTGAAGATGCAACGTGGTTCCTGGTTTACAGGACAGACAAGTACAAGAGATTGAAGACAGAAGTGGAAAACAAAGTAAAAAAAATTAGAAAAGAAGAAGGAAACTATAACAGAGTCAGCTGGTTGACAACATTTAAAAAAAAAAAAGATAAACAAGAAGAGAAACTAAAGAACAGCCATCGAGACCTGTCAACCATATGAGTGGAATCCTGTTTGCAACTGGCTTTTGTTTCGCGGCCTTAATGGGAATGTTTAATTCCATGTTTGATGGTGGAGTGGTGGCAAAGCTTCTCTTCACCCCTCTTTCTTACATCCAAGGATGTGTCATCGAAACCTGCTGGGCGACGACACCACAGACGGCTCTTTCATCTCCTTGTGCATTCTCTGTTCTATGTCAATACGACAAAACATTCAGAAGATCCTTGGCCCTCCCCGTCTCGAGCAGCCACCAAGCAGGCCAGTGGATTCCTTGCTCCCCCCCAACCTCCTTCTGGAAAGTTTTCTTGAAGGAAAACAGAATTCTTTATTTTCTGTCTACTTTCTAGACACTCACATCAGACTGCCAAGGCACCTGGCCACATTCTAGCTTTGAGTTATTTCTCAGCTTTTTTGGGATGCGATCAGAACGAGAATGGCATTTAGCTAGTGGGCTAGTGCTTTGGGTCATGGATGACTTCTTTAGTAAGTGGGTGCATTAGTCAACTATGGGTGATTTTTATGTAATCACAAAGATCATCTTTCTTCTTTGACTTCAGTATTTCTATGGGACTAACGATCATGCCCGTGTATGTGCCATGCACCATAGAAGCAGACTTCCCATGAACATAGACAGCTAGGAGAACAAGACAGTTTGTGTAATAACATAATAGGATGTTTTTGTTGTTTTTAACAAGCCAAATATGTCACCTATGTTTGATAACAAGCCAAATTTTTAGTTGTTTCATTTAGAGAGATATTTAATTTTTTCATGTTTAAATAAAATATTTTCTGTAATCTGAACATAGGGTAAGCATTGGCCCAGAAGAGCTAAAATAAAATTTTGTCATATGTTCCTTTAAAAAAAAAAAGAATCAGACATACTTCAGAGATGATTTAAAGAACACAGGAGAATATGCATAGAGCATATACAAATATTGTAACTTTTGTATAAGATGCATATGGATTTTGATTTCTGCAAGGGGTTTTGCGTTACAGGCTCCAAGGGACAGTGGCCTTTGCTGAATGACTGCAGAGTGAATGTGAAGGTGAGGAAGTGCAGGCAAAGGTGGAGGAAATCATCAAGAATCTGAGCGATGGGAAGGCCAGGTGTGGTGCACACCTTCAATCCAGAGCTATGTAGAAAGAACCTGTCTTGAAAGAAAGAAAGAAAGAAAGAAAGAAAGAAAGAAAGAAAGAAAGAA